ACACCACAGCTCCCTTGGGAGAGTGACGGGTCACTCTCATGTAACCCCGTTACAGTTGCTCATTCTGATGAGTCGGCACTATCTTGTGGCACACCCACCATGCCAACAGTGAGCATCACTGCTCTGCGCGAGAATATTACAATTGTATGGCGTATGCTTACTTCAATGGGCTCTTTTATTTTTTTCACTGCATTTTCGCGCAAAATTACCTTGATTTAGCTGGTTAATTACCAGATCATATAGGGCATACTTATATACAACCTTTTTTCGCGCACTTTCAAAACAACGGAGGCAAGTCCTTGAGCTTGGTAACCAGGTTGTTTCATAAAAATTGCACGTATAATTTTAGTATTGGAGATTATTAAAGGCTGCATGACACAAACGGTTCGTACATCATACAATTTCCAAGCAAATAAAGCTAAAGATGCCACTTCAAATGAAGAAGATTCATCCCCAGATTAATGTGACGAGAAGTTTCGACAAACACGAGCAATTCTCGTCATCGCATATCACGCGATAGAGGAAAGACTGCAAGCTTTCTTAATCTTGACTTTCGTAACCACTTAAATGCCTTTGACTAACTTCAATTCGTTCCAAAAGTCACTACATCTTAAGAGTGCAAGCCTAGCATCCATAAAGATCAAGGTTCGGTTGTGCATCAAAGTATTAAGGAATCCCATAAAAAAACTCAGACTGTTGTATGTAAGGATGACGCCCGACTCCGGTTAGCCGTGTTTGTAGCATACTAGTGCGAAAATCTTGTCCGAACGGAACGTCTCAGGTTTTATTGGCAAGCTACGATCTCGAACTTCTCGCCAATTATTTAATTTGGCAAAAAATAGCGGGAATGGGGTCAAGTCTGCTAGGAATTAGCGGCGTTAAATCCGGTTTACAACCCAGTAGCATAATTAGTCGCTGTCCTGTTTGTCCCAGGATATGCAGGATACTTATCTCTTCATTTCAGTATCGGGTTCACTCAGGGTCTTCTGATCGCACTATCCCTGGTCTTTTTTACCATTCTTCATCATGTATCTTCTGTTAGCATTTACTCCTAGCCGCTTGTCTTTCAAAACAACTGTGAATAGCAAGTTGTCAATGCACGTTTGTAGGCTCTTTTGCTCAGAGTTCAGGAATTCTAGAATGCCCCAGTAACACTCTATTCCTTTGTCATATTAATCTATTCTTATAATTAAAATGAGGCGTTAATGATTTTTTTTCACTTGCATTTTTTCTGTCGTAATTCTTGTGACAGTAGTGCAGAAATTGCTGTACACGGACTATCTGATGTCCGATCATAATCCGATTAATTGGCATGTTCAATTGAAGGATTAAGAAAAGGATCCGTGATTTGAAAGCCGTACATTAAAATGCGGAACAGCGATACATTTAAGATGAAGTCGTTAAAGCTCGCCGCACATGTGTATGTGCTGCGTAAATATCTACATTTTCTAACGTAAGAGCCAATACATTCTAGATTCAGTTAAAAGTTAGCAGTAATATCTCTCCTGATGAACGAGGTGAATCCAACTCACTGTTTATGCGGCTGCAGATCTCAAGAGTCCATGGAAATAAATCTTGAAGGATGGCTATGGAGATCAGAAGCCAGCAGCTGTAAGTATGATTATGTTAATACATACAGTAGAACCTGTCTAGATTAAACCTGTTTAATTAAAAACCCTCTCTAAATTGAACAAAAGATATGGACCCATGTTGGGCTTTTTACCTATGCTACCCTTCTTTATTCAAAATCCTCTCTAAATTAAACACTGTCCCCCAGGCCCAACATGTTTAATATTTTAATATTTAGACAGGTTTTACTGTACTGTAGTACACAAGATCCCTTTCTGCCATCAAATTTATGATGTGCAGAAGACAATAGACGCTGCGAAGGAAAATAATGAATGATAACAAAAGGTGCGTCTGCTTAAAACGATAGCCACGTGTGCTTTTACAATCATTGTTTGTTTTTCTTCGCACTGCTCACGTGTCTTCTTCGCATCATGTTTTTCAATAGCAAGACCAGACCACGTCAACGGTCTGTCGCAGAGTTATTGGTGGTATTTATCCTCGCATCTTTGGAGAGCAACATATTTGCGGTCATGCCATCAGTTTCTTCGGAGCCTCAAACAATGAGCATCTGAGAAAGAGTCCGTCATCATCAGCAAGTCAAGACAGTTTTCAATCTGAGGCCAGAACATGGCCTATCTTGAAACAGCCCCTCAAAGCTGAAGAACTAGTACTCGACGACAACATTCTCTTCAAACTCAGGTTAAAGGTGCTGCAGTTGTTAGAGGACTCGACGAAAATCCGCACAACTCCATTCTCGATCGACAGCAACACGCTTAAAACGCTTAAAACCCATGAGACAAATTTAAAGGGGTTAAAGGATGAAGTTCACGTGTTTCACAAAGTTGCTGACACTTCTGGCATCAACCATCTCATAAATCGAGAATTGCGTTGGTTGGAAGTGAAATCAAATGTGTTTAGCGCACTGAATTCTGGAACCGTATTTTCGAAGAGAGAGGTACTCTTGAAGCATCTCTACGAAGTTGGACCAGACGAGGCCACTTTGGTGTTGATGGAATTGCGGCATATGCTAAGCCTAAATCAAGTCGACCAACTGATCACACAGTATAATAAGGAGATCGACCAACTGATCACGCAGTATAATAAGAAGAACTGGGACGCCCAATTCTCTCTTCTCACTGGCAAATCGGCAGCTGATGCCGAACAATATATGAGATCACAAAATGACGAAGAAACTAAGCTGCTAGGTGATTGGGTGACTGCATTTACTAGCGAAATCGGGCAACCTTTCGACATACCTAGCATTCTTCTATCAGATACGATGCAGCGATTTATCTCATTTGCCAAAGAAATCAAGCAGGCCAAAATTAATCGCAATCAAATCTCAATCGCTGAGCCAGCTCACAAGTCGCACTAACGCTGGTCACGGTGTTGAAGTCGGTAGCCTTTTATAAAGTGTGGCGATGGAGATGAGTGAAAGCTACATGAGGGTACGACTATATGTTGAATGTTAATCAATCATTGATCAAGAGCTGACTCATGTCTTTGCATAGCCTAAATGTGCGATGATGTCTGAATAGCTGAACAGAAGAATGGTGCTTAAGCAAGTCGTTGTTTCTGAAGTTTTTAGATTGGGACATGAGTTTTAGGGAAAACAACAATACATGTAAGATTCATAACATGCTAATGCTGAAAGCAATTGCTTGATTTTATCGATTTGTCCGATGTTGTAATGATGCAAGACCACGTCACGATATTATTACAGAAAAACTACGAACTAGGATCAATAATAGCAGTCAAAGTAGGCAGCAAAATGATGCTTGCCGTCAACAACGGCTTACCTTTAATGAAAAAGCACCGACTAGTACAGACACCGTTTTGGTTTTCGACCCGCCACAATTGCTGTTATAAATTTATTTTTAAAATGCTTGTCTGCTATAATCGTTCAGTTGATGAGAGAGATTTAGAGACCTCCCGACTTTGGGGCTGGACGCGTTAATAGTTTGGCTGGGAACGCTAGCTGGGTGTAAGTGACTCATTCTACGAACCGTCTGAAGCACTCTCCTTCGTCAACAGTGACTGTTCATCGCCTGTTCTTGGATCACCATCCGCCGTATACGCGTTTATGAGCTCATTAAACTCGCGTAGGTGTCGCAGTGGACCTCACTTACGATTGTGGAAAATGAAGAATGGGCGAAATCTGAGGCGTGCCGTCGATAGAATTGTGTTTAAATGGTGTCGGACACCAGAAAAGACGCCGACACAGTGTCGGCCGGCTATCGCTATCAGGGTGCATCACTCCACTGACTCGTCGAACTGCTACGCGCTCTGCCATGTCCAGTTGTGGCAATTGCGTTGCTTCTAAACGGATGATTTAACGTCTCGGTAACGAGATTCTTGCTCGGTTGACCGTCAGCTCGCTCCTTAGTTATTAACGATGGATGGCAATCATTAAGCCACACATGAGTGGGTGCGTCTGGATATCATCGCTAATGTGGCCAGCCACAACAACCTCACGGATCTTCGCTCTTTGACGTAGTTGCGCGAGCATATAGAATAAACAATCTCGGCTTCTTATGACCTACGACTGTATAACTGGACTTACATCGACAATCACGCGATAGCCAGTGAGCAATCTTGACTGGCGCATCATGTTCTTGAACCACATCAAGACGAATGTCGAATATAATGATCGTTCTCTCAGAAGCAAGCAAGCCTTAGTAAGTTCAGGTACAAGGAACCCGGTGTCTAGCACTTCGCCGCATGTGCGACGGATTGGGGACAGCGATTTTGAAGTCTCTGCACACCAGCATACTAACCCCAGCAGCTCTGACCCGTCGAAATTGCCGCCGCAACACTGACCAGACGGCCTCGCTGAAATCGCGTTTCTGATATTTGCCTGCAGCACAATAACCATATAATTTAAGTAGATTTATGTGAATGTACCGCTTACGAAAATAGTCGACAGCCCCTGCAAATATGATGAAGAAGAGTTTTTTTATTAAAAACGTATTACTGGGTCTCCAAATTTATGATCACATGAATTTCGTCATCTGAGGTCTGATTTGAGAGATGATAGACCTGAGTTTTGATGGATGGATTCAATACAGAAGCTATTAAGCATTTTCGCCATCATGTATGGTATACGGTACACGATGTGAAAGGGATAGCTCGATTACTTATATTAAGCTTAAATTCTTAACTGTTTTTTATATCGAACGCAACGAAAACGATTGAAATATATTGAGATTCTACAAATTTCTGTCCGTACCAGGTACTTTATTATAGAAAAATACTATAGTAATTTAATATCGAAGCTAAGTCCTGGGGACAATATTTTAGTGTGCACATACCCTAATACGCCCTCTTCACCCGTAGGGTAAATTTCTTAGAGAAACTTACAAAACTGAGAGTTTCTTTTTGACTGCACATAACTAGTGCACCCACAACGCTAAGAATTACATATGGCTCGATGGTCGTCCTAACGAATGCGGCCTCTGCTGCTGATGCCATGAAGGTCTTGTGCGGTAAACTGTTTTATGCACCCTAGATTATATGTTGCTTAGCACGCTGCAACAAGACAGCAAGGCTTGATGCTTAAAAAGTCAAAGAATTGGCGGAGTGCTTATAGAAACAGCGCTAAATGAAAGAATATCTTCAGACCACAGAGACTCGCAGCTTTTCATGGCTATCCAGTTTTTCTGCTTAGCCAAACATATAAACCTTTCATGTGTGTTCGAAATGCAGTTCTCAGCGCAATTACAGCAAATGAGTGCTTTTCATTTAAATTTTAGGCCTATTTCATGCTTTAAATTCTTTACCTCCCAACTTCAACATTCACTGTCAATCTATGTTGAACACCCCATAAACCTCATCATTGGCATATGCAATGCAATTTATCATCAGAAGGGGAAAAATCCGAAGCTCAACGGGCAGTCAGTTTAGCGTGTGACGACCACGCGCGCTGTAACAGGTAACTGCGCCCCTTAAGGCCCTAATTGCTCTCTAACCGACCGGCTGTCGGCGATACTGATTCTTATGCACATACTAATGTCCCTTTTCTCTGCTATTTTTGCCGCTTGTAACTAATATATAGCCACGAGTCAAGAACCACCACACTTGTTATTTCATGAGCGCGCATTTGGGCGCTCGTCCCACTCAGCGGTCGAGCTATAGCGGCCCACCGCGTCGAATCTCGGTAGATGCGATGAACAACCTCTCAATTCGCAGTCTGGAGGATTTGAATCAGCTCTCGCAGGCCACGCGCGAGTTTGGAGAAGTGTATTCAGGCTATCATGACGGCTCTCGACGAAGTCCTCGATTTTTGAAACAACTTTTTGACCCTATAGAAAATAAATCTGAAGAGGATTGTGTGTTTCGCGTTCGTATATCTGGAATTCAATGCCGCAACCTCCAAGGACGACGATTTAGTGGTAAAAGCGATCCCTATGTCGAGTTTCACTGGGATAACCCCAAAGAGACTGCTCCTTACGTTACGCCAGTGATCAAGGCGGATTTAAACCCAAATTATAAAGGTGTTTTGATTGCCTTTGAATACAAAGCGCCACTGGTTGAGCTTCCAAAGCGAAGTTTGCTGGTCAAAGTATATTCTACCCGAAAATTTAACGCAAAATATCTGATTGGAGAGGCTAAAGTGGATTTGTGGAGTATTGCAACCGGACCTGTGCACCATGATCATCATTTAGTTGGATGTGATAATGGACGCGTGGTGTTTAATTGCTACATGGAGCAATGCAATGAGTGGAATATTATTGTCAGTGATGTGGGTGTAATGATGCCGGCTATTGCGAATGAACTGGATCGGCCTGAAGGACACGATTTTCAAGAAGATGCATCGCTTCCACTGAAAAAGTTTGGCGTCAGCTACAAGTGCACGATTGGGACGGACGAGAAGTTTTACATGGGCAACAAGCTGAAGCATGCTATTAAACGAGACATTGGAGATATTCATGAAGTGAGCTTTCAGTCGCTTGCAAGGCTTGCAGTACTATCGTCGCGTGTATCCAGACCAAACAGCCAGCCGAAAAGTGAATCAAAAACTGAGGATGAAGGTGACGATGCTCTTGTGGCACAGGATCCCATGGCTGTCGAGTGGACAACCTCCACGGACTACCTCCCTCCTATTTCGCGGTACAGCACTTTTGATGAACTCATGTCGGCGACACTGACGTTGGAGGTAAGCTGAACAATACATATGGTAGATAGAATCCTTGGAGCATATTCATCTGCTGGTTACATTGTGATTGTAGGTGCGTCAAGTCCTAGTTGGTCGCGGCCAAATGTCAACAGATCCAGACGGTGGATTTTTGAGCTTGCTAGAAAAGTATGAAAATGAAACACTGGTACGTTTCTTATAGAATGTCAATTTCAGTTGTCCATCGTATTGAGATCTTGTCATCCTCCAGGCGACTCCCAATATCCGTGTGCAGTTTGATGAGGAAATCAAGAATACAAATCTGTTTGGTCAAACATGGCTGTCGCTGGAGAAAATATTTGAGGATGCTCTCCAAGAGCGAATGAAAAAGAAAATTGACGCTGATCCGACTTTTGGCTTAAATGGCCTTGGATTCGCTGACCAGTTTGTCACAAGTAAATTTGAGCAAAGTTTAACATTGAAAGGGCACCAAGTTGGGGTGATTTTTGGTACGATTTTGTTTAAGCGAATTCCTGACGTCCGACAGCTGCGATGTGGTGTCAATAGTGAGCATGGTATATCTTCGTCGAGCTCTGTGATCGTAGGAGTTGTTCCTGCAGGCTCAAAAAAAAATCCTCGCAACTCAAAAGTAGTGATACCAGTTGAAGCTCAGCGCCTGTTGGAAAAAATGCAGGATCTGCTGGAACTCATGGCCAATAGACAGAAAGATGACAAGGAAGGTAAAGTGCGGAAAGCGACCAAGATTCTAAAGATGTTACAGGTTTCGCATAAGGCCTCGATGTTGTCGTGGGTGTATGTGTCAGCCGAAGCACTAGAGGAAACGAAAAACATTTTGCTGAGACTGTGGCAGTTTTTGCTAGAAAACATTCGCGTGCGACACTATACGCTACGCAATGTCTTTTATGAACTACTTTTTTACCTAGTTAAGCGAGCGGAGCTCAGTGATTTGCCACTGTTGGGTTTTGACTCGGCAGTTGCGACGACTATGTTTGGTGTAAAACATACGCACAAAATCTCGAAAAAGGATTTAGAATTTGGCCTTAAATTGCGCGCGATGCTTGTCGAAAGCAAGTTCTGCGTTCTCCAAACGGTCTCTGTTCGTGGTGTCATGAACAATAATTTGATGTTCTTTGTAGCGAGAATGTTGTCAGTGCTTTGTTTTCGTTTACCGAGTTTTGGTGTGGAGCTTTATCAGTTGTGGTCCGAATCATACAATGAACCAGTGCCTGAGCTCGCTGCTGAGTTTAAGATGAATGCTGACGCCGACTTGTTTGCGATGGACGGATTAGAAGCCCATTTAGACTGGCGGCGGTTTCATAAAGCCATTTTCGATGAATATGGTGAGAAAGCTTTGCGTAACCAAGAGGAAGAAGCCGAGGATAAGTATGAAGTCACTTCTGAGGCATGGAAGTCGCGTTTTCGTCGGATAAACGGTGAAGCGAACACTCTTAACATTTTGCTTGTGGATCAGTGGCTTTGGTATGTGCTTGATACTTTAGCTGTTTTAAACCAGAAGATCGGTTGGATCCATCTGCCTGGCTACACTCAAGTGTTGATGGTTTTCTTTTTAGAGTTGAGAACGCAAAAGTCTGGCTGGCTTCCTCCAGCGCTGTACAAATTATCATGCACAATGCTTTCTAATCCAAGCTTGATCAACCCCATGACCAAGTTCCTTTTGAGTAGTACCAGTGTACACGATGTCACTGCGGTAATTGGTGCCGTCGAACTTCTTGGTGTTTGGATGTACATGATTCGAAGCTGGCGCGTTCGTCTAAGCTCGTATCGATTGTCGCATCTGGAGAACAACGATCGCTGGAACTTCCATCAAGATGATCAGTACTCGATTCCAGCAGGTGATGAAGTGTCGTTGCTGCCTCCTTCATTTGACTTTCGCTTTTTGTGTGCGGCGCTGCGCATTCTGCTGGATTCAGAGCACACACAAGTTGTATTGACTACTTTAGAATTTCTGTACAATTGTTGGGATTGTTTTCCAGAGCGACATGCGGATAAATTGCGATTTGAATTGCTGCGATCTTTCATTCGCCTATTCCTACACTGGCATAGTGAAGTTCGTAGCTTTTTTCAGACGCTGATAGCGCTTCGTGCCATGAAGCCGCACGGATGGACTCAAAAGGGAGCTTCTTTTGTGAATACACCACCACATAGCCGCCGCCAGATTGATGCGGTGGCGGCTGATTTTAACATGTCTCTTGGAACTGAGGAGCCTGTTGAAAGTGGACGACGCTCTCGATCGCACAGCTCGAGCAACTTGATGGACTCGGTACATAAACGATTGAGTTCATCATCACCGCGCTTATCCCCTCGGACTTCTCCGTCGCCGTCGCCTCGAAATTCGGGCTCGGTGCTGTCCTTAACTATATCGTCACCCAGTAGCCGGCCCATTGGCAGTGGCCAAAACACGCCGACTTCGGATTATAAAAGTGCAGATAGTTTGCCTTCTAAATTACGGAGTATATCGGATGAATACGTAAAGCATGCACCGCTGCAGCCTAAGATGGACACTCATATCCAAATGAAGTTTAATCGGCTCCTCGAGTCAATCTACGTTGCAGCGAAGAAATACATTGACTATCAGGGCCTAAACGGCAATATTCTTCGAAAGCAGACAGCCGAGGCGACTTGGAAGAAAAAGGGCATGCTGTTAAAGCAAGGATTTATCTACAAAACCACTTGGAAACACAAATTTTTCTCGCTGCAGAATAATAAGCTTGGATACGCTGACACTGAGTATGGCCCCATCAAGCGTGAAATCAACATTATTGGCAGCGTAGTCACCGAATTGTCGAATCAATTAGATCACTCTCAGGGAGGACGCGTTGTGCTGTTTAATTGCTTTTCTGTCGATAGCGGCTATCAGAAACTAGTTTTGTGCGCTCCGACGTTTGAGGAGCAGCGCGAGTGGATAGAAGTGCTGACCCAGAATGCAACGGCCGAGACCGCCACGCGTAAGGACAATGAAACGTTATCACAAGTGGATCTTGCCGAAGTGTCGGATCAGCTACAGTCACTTGCTGGCAAGCATTCGACAGCTGAAGAAGTACCAGAGAACCTTTTGCCGTATTCTGTGCTGGCCGTGAAAGAGTGAGTCACTGCATCTTTTGCTGTCGATAAGTGAGCGTATGCTTAATGTATTTAATGTCTTACAGATGGCTCAACCTTCGTGTGACTGCAATGGAGATTGAAAGCAAAATTGCTGCTGGCCAGCCATTCCACATGCCAGTGCTGTTGTCTAAGTCGTCACTCTATGCTGATGATGACTAATCGTGGCTATTTAAAACGCAAAAACGATCAACCAAAACGTGATAAGAAAAAGATAAATGCTCAAAGTATTGGTAACGTACGCTGCATTTTGAAGCCTTTAGCCATCATGTTGAATTTCTTTCTCAGCTATTATTTTTAACGTCCATAATTTAGTCAAGCATGCTAAGTATCCAAATCCTAGACCCGATTGGCGATTGTGTCAACATTACGAGATATCTGTGCCTGTAATTATAACTATAAGTGACGAAACTAATGAAACGGAGAATATTATTGACTGATCTTGCACATCTCACCGCTTTTTTTTTTTGGTTAGTAACAAATCAATTCATTGCACGAATCATTATGCATTGCCTACATTACCGTTGCAAGGAAGAGACTTTCGAGAATCATTATATTGCGTACATGTGGAAGTCGTACGAGCGACAATCATTACGACATCATGAAATCAGAATATACCAGCTACAACACGAAATCAAAACTGTACGTCAAGGAAGTATTTAGCACGTGAGACCACATTTTTGGTATTCTATGATGGACATCGAGCTTTCATGAGTCATTTCTGCTTAGCGTTTGATCGATCTTGGTGACGATGAATTTTTCAAAATGTTTAGTGTCTCCAAGACGAATATGAAGCTTCGAAGGATCGTGACAACGATTCGAGCAAAACCGTTAAAACTAGCAGTAATCGTTGCCGACAGCGACAATCAGTTCTGCTGTACGTTTCATTATATACTTCTAGCAATTCGTCCATCATCGTTCTTGACAACGAACGAATTCACCGAGAGCTGGGTGGTTTTTTGCGTTCCGAAACCGATGAGAAGCTGATACTATTCTGCGGATCTAAATATTGATATGAAAGAACACAATTTTGTCGAGTTGCTTCGATCGACCTTTATCGCCACTTTATTGATTATTTTGCTATTTACGACAACTGTGTTATCAATTGCGCTGGTATCTGACCTTGTAGTTGTTAGATGACTTTACGCGACAGCAACCGTAAATGCACTAAGTCGTTCGTTCATCATGTCTTTCTATCAACATTTACACGTAGCATTACACCTTAATTTTTCACATCAATATTTGATAATTCAAACTAATACAGGGTTAGTTTCAAACTACACAATAAAATGTTTGAAAGAGAAATCTCAAACCAACTTCCAGTAAAGATAAATAAAACAATTTTCTTTCTTAATAAGAATGTTAAACAGATGTGCATGAAGCCAAGAGACTTCAATCTAGCCAGCGATGAGGAATTACAACTTACACGTAGCCTTCTCTTTAGCTTTCGAATTTGGTTTCAAACTATGCTTCTCTGGTTCCAGCTGCTTCTGTTGCTCCTGCTTGATAGTTTTCTTTTGAGCATCACCAAACGGTGTCTTTTGCCACATTGCCTCAAACTCGTCCGGGGTTCCGCCTGGGCATGTGGCCTCGTGTTTTCCCTCGTCTTCGGGACCCATGCGGCTCCACGTCGAGCGCATTTTTTTGCCCTCAATTTGACGCTCGTGTACAGCTTTTAGACGTCCGGTCGAATCTTCATAGCGGCGTCGAGTGCTCATCACGCGCCGGCCTTTGTCATCTACGATGGATGAGTTACTAAATGTATATGATGAAAAGGCACGGCGGGACTGATCGTCGTTAATGGCAACGGCCTGGTGCTTGTCAGTGCTAGTCTTTTTGTTTGGCTTGTTCGGGTCGTTGTCACGATCTTTTGATACTTGATCCTTTGTCTTGGATACACTTTCCGTCAGATGCGCTGAACTTTCACGGTGTTGCGTTGCGGGTTGCTGTTCACGCCCCAAAACGGGTAAGTCCTTGAAAAATTCGTCGTCATCGAGATTGCTGGGCGCCGCCAACATTTCGTTGCTTCGATCAAATGGAAAACTTGAGCGGCTCATGAGTTCGCTCAAGTGCTCGAGGTCCATCATAGACTGCTCCAACGACGACATGGGGTACCAGAAGCGTGGTCGGACGAGATCCCACGTGCTAAACATGACTGATGGTTATTGAGTGTCGCTTTTTTTGTTGACGTGTGTAGTAGCTGGTAAATTTTGAATTGAAGACGTCGCAATAATTTCCACTCGTATATCTTCATCATAACAAGCTTCTCGAATGTGTGCTGTTTATAACGATATATGTATGTCGTGTCTCACCAACGATTGTTCAGTACAGACTTTGTGAGCTTGAATATATTCTCGATCTCGTTGTGAGCCAAATTTAGTACTAATTGAGTAAAGCTCGATTAAGTAATAATACATTGGACATGTGCATTTGTCGGTGTTTTAGAATGAGAATTTCGAATCATTTTGTGAGCAATTTATTTAGTGGAATAATTTATATTTTAATTTCGCTTGTTTTTGCAAGATTATATTAGTAAATTAATGCTCGAGAATTAGAATGTCTTTGACATTTATTTGACAATTAACTATGACTTAATACAAAATGTATTTAACACTAAAAATTAATACGCGATGAATCGTTTAGTTACTGGTTGCTTTCAAAATAAAAGGATCACATTGATGCTGCTTCCAATGTCATAAAAATCTGTGTAGTTACTGAATACTGAAAACAGCTACAACTTATAGGTTTCACAACAAGTTTTCCAAACGTTCCGCGTAAAAGTCGGCTGATCGAGTAGCGCTGGCAAAGTTCAACCCTCCTGTGGCCGACTCTCTTGAAATCTCTCGGATATAGCGGCATGTCAACATTCTAATTGGCATGACACATATTTTGGAATTTTCTGTGAGATTAATTATTGAAATGCCTGGCTTTAGAGCGGTAAGGAATTGCTTCACTGCATTGAATAGAGTAGTCTGCCAACTGAAAAAGGGGGAAAGGATCACTTTGCCTGTATCAGACCTTGTCATGTTCGACTAGATCGTAAGAGAGAGTTTAGGGTATGCCACTAATAAGCCTATATAGAATACCGGATGCGTTTGTATTCTTGTTGGGCTTTGAAATCTCATATCCTTTTCACTACGATCGTATACGGATCGATGTAGGCGGTCACAACTTAGTCTCTAAGACTACAGACACCGCATATTCAGGTAGGTAATACTATGCAATAAATCTTCTCCCCACAACATGTTCGTGCATGTACTGCTTGCCTCGGATATCGAAGTATTCCTTCTGTTTGCCCTGGCTCTCAGCCACAGAACTTACACTCCCTGTATATGCTGCTCAAACTCATTGAGATAAACCCACTTATTTTGTTACAAAGTGTACCAATCTATATTAGCGACTTCATTTTGACCGACGGTCTTGCTCACTAAGTTCGGAGTCACTTTGTGGTGGTGTCAAAGGCACTCGGAGGTTCATTGAATCATTAATGTAACATGGAGTAAAGCTTGTGACGATATGACCGCGTTTTTATGCGGACTCGATAAGTGGAAGCAGCTTACTCCACCATCACAATTCTTCCGTGCAAGTGCTCCGATCAGTTACTCCACAACGTGTCTCGAGGGAGTTTTATCTAACCATGTATTTGCTGTTGGTTGGCTGTCAACAAAATCAGTCTGGTGCCGGACACCGTTTATGATGTTCATTAAAATGTTTCCGCGAAGCGTGAACCTCCATTCGATATGATATCCACCTACAAGCCATATAACACTCTGTTATGAAACAGTTTGGCTTTATCTTCGTCGTCCACACCATCGTTTATTGAAGCAGGATGAGCCATCGTGCCCAGACGATCTACAAAAACCATAATGTCACTATTGCCTGATGCGGCTACTGAAAGACCGAAGTAGGTCCATACAAATGGAATAATAGCACTCTGCTGGTACCGACAGGCTCACCAATTGCACCGCCACACGCAATGAGGGCTTAACTCGACGGCACATTTCACTCCTTTGCCGTGCTTATCCCATTAGATATGTTGGACCACCGTATACTGATTGTTAACCGAGCAGTACAACCATTTTCTTTTGTGGTGACCAATCATATGCTTGCACTATATTATGTTTTGAGGCTCGTAGCATGAGGGTCCACTACACGCTGAGTGTCATGTGGGTCAGTAATATGATACAAAGAGCCCGATCGCGATACATATTTACGGACAGCGCCCTTTGATTAATCGACATCGATTTCTCAAGCTCCTTCTTTTCATAAGGTTTCAGCAGCGCCACAAATGTTGCGTCTGACCATACACTGACCGTATTGCCGTATCAATTGGCGAGTCACCATAGCGACATGCAGTAAATCATAGTTGGGGCGGCGCTATAGCGCATTGTCCATCAGAATATGCCGAACCGGCTTGCACCCACCCTCAAAGATGTACTCGGCAAAGAAATTTTTTGCTGTCATCTTTTGTGACAAATGAGGCGGCAACGCCACTGTCCGCAACGATGCATGATCTGGGTTGAGATACAACGGCGTATAACTAATATGAGTGCTACTTGACGAGTGAAAATACATCACAATCAGTTGCTTGTTATGAACAAAGTAGTTCTTCCCAGCAGCTTCCAGCTGGCAAGACTCAAACGCGATCACGCGTTGACACCCCATAAGCATCTTCTTGGAGCAAAACACAACCTGGGGCGAAATCCATAGCGTCACAGACGATGTATAATGACCGATCTGTATTAGGAAGTGCCAAAATCTGGGCACATATGAGCTTTAATCGGCAAACTTACCGGTCGCCGATTCTACCGCATCCCAAAACATTTTCATGCCCAACATATGTTTAAGAAAATCGGTGAAGCGTTATGCCATGACTGCAGTTTTACTGTATTTGTGCAAGTTGTTGACCGGGCCGAGCAACTACCTAAATGCCTTTTCATTAAAAGCCACCGGTCTTCATCTTTGAGGGACTTGATTGCAGGTAATGCTTCCGAACAAAGCAACCCATGAAGGGGATTCCGTCTGCGCCAAAGACACACTTAAGTTTTTTGACTCCAGCTATTCATGCCCATTACCTCGAGCACCGCTCGCAATTATTTTATGTTGCCCTTAATATCGGCTTTGTGCCGTACAATTGTCGGCGAATACATCGTTATGATGAGGCTGTATCTGGCCACATTAAACCTGAATAGTTGTGTTATCAGATGATTCATCGACGCAGGTGCATGGACACTCCCTGTGTTATAACTAGCCAATCATCCATCGATAAAACGACCGGCAATGAGAGCACTTGCAGTTTTAGGCTGTGAACACTGAACACATGCAGCTGACCATGCCGTTCTACAACACAATCTTTCTGAGATGGCCGTTTGTGCCGAGATTGTGGCTGCATCTAGCTTGTTATGACCAAGCACAATTCGCCAGTTGCCATTAGCATGTTTATACGATAAAACGGTACCGAGTATAGGATTTATTTTTCTCCAATAGACCCGCTTCGCGCACATCACGAAGTAAGTATCATCAACTCACACTACTCCCGACCACGGCAGTGTGACGCAATGGTGTCGGGAAACAAATCATTATAATGACGCATTCCCCTACCTGGTGA